ATTTTTTGTCTCAGTTGCTGTAGGCAGTCTCACCGTCCCACCTCTTCTTCAGCTTTGTGAATAAAAGAGGTGGCCAGCCTGCAGCTGACCTAGAGGTATGGTGACTCTTGGGCCCACGTCTTGTGTCCCCAGGCTACGGGCGGCATGGAGAGCCCTGGCTCCCCTGGGGACCTCTGTGCAGGCTGTGAACCTGGCTACAGAACATGTCCTCTCTGAGCAGAAGCTGGGATGCTGGTTTCTCTCGGGAGGTGGCAGCACAGCCAGATGCGATCAGCATTTGCAGCTTGGTGCCCAGAACTGCAAAGGGGTGGCAGGGAGGAGGTGGCGTTGGTGTGGATTCCTTCTGAGGTGGAGTTCCTTGGTGGGGGCGAGGATTAGGATGGGGAGTGCAGGGGTGTTGAGGCATAGGAGGGATGGCTTCAAACCCGTTCTTGAAGCAGAGTGGAATCAGCACAACATCCTCACTGTAATGCACTGGGGTCTGTTGATCCTGACCACGTTTCTCTGTATCAGCTGCTGCTGATCGTCAGGTGTGATGCTGGGATGCCCACTGTGGGGATAGTGTCATTTGTTGAGCCTAGAGCCACACCCCCAGCTGCTCTTTTTCACGTGTGGGGAAAGGCTGTCTGCAGGAGATTGGGCACAGTCATTAAGTATCATGGTTTTTGCAAGCACCTACTTACCTGCAGGCTGTCAAGATGGTTGCATGTTATTTTATCTGCAAGTTACTAAGCAGCTTTTGGTAAAATACCGTGAGAAAGGAAGAGCAACAATTAGTCACCATCCCATGAAACTGTACAACCTGCTCCTCTCTCAGAATCTCACCTGTTCTTCTTAGCTGGATTACTGGGGGCTGGAGGCTCCATTTCTCTCCTGAGGTTTTAGTAACGGATTGCAAAGCCAGGGGTACTATATGGGATATAATGTGACCATCATCTGGAAAACATGCACAGAGGCAGAGGGTTTGGGTTTCTCCAGAAACCAAGCACAGTCTGGTCCAAAAATCTATGGGATATATTGCTTAATCTACCACTCCGGCTCTGTTCTTTGAATTCAGCTTTCCTATGCCAAGCACACTGAATCAGCTGGGAATGCTAGGGAGCCCTGGTGGGAGGTTGTTTGCTTACTTCATGAACTTTGAGAAGTTTTGTGGCAACATGGAAAGACAGTAGATTCAGCTCTGCCCTGATAGCCATTTGTGAATGCTGTCTGTGGGTTTGGGCATCCAAAAGCGAACGGTGCTAGAAATCCCAACTTAGTCAGTTCAAATGGTTTTAGTAGCATCAGCAACTGGAGGGCAGCCAGCCAGCCCTACAGTTCTTTGAAAAGTAATAAAATGCACTTGATTTTTACTCCTTGACTTGCAACCACTGAACGGGAACTAGTCTCATATACCAGGTAATTCCTGCTTCACGCTGCTTAGGGCACCACTGAAATCACACCTTTAACAGGCAGCACTGAGAGGATGAAGCACAGAAAGGCAGCAGAAAAACTTGAAGTTTGTAAACACTTAGAAAGGGGCCACCTCCCTTTTTTCCCCGCTCTTTGCTCCTGGCAGTGTTGGAAGGCTCATCCCTACTCTCATGACTGTACAGTAAGGGAAAGGTGTTGCTCTGAAGATTGTCTCCTCTCTTTCAGAACATTTTTGTTTCCGAGAGTGCCCCGAGTGCCCCAGAGAGATCCTGTGGCATTGGTGTGCACAGTGAGGATGTCTCGTGGTAACAGAGGATGCACCACTCATCTTGTCTGCAGGGCTGGGAAGTGGAATGCAAAAGGCTCAGGCAGCGAGGACTGAAAAGCAAAGCAACCTTTCCTGTGTGCATTTTCCTTCTGACTCAGTTCTGGGGGATCCTTCCCCTGCCGTGTGGATCCCTCTGTTCTGGTGCCTCAGAGGAACAAGTTTTGTCGGTACCACCACCAGGCCTTCTGCCCGGTCCCTGCACGGGTGCAGTTGTGGAGAGCCAGGGCTACAAGCAGCTGCCCCTCCACTAACAGTTCCACAGCAGTCCAGACAGGCACACACTTTCAAAGGGTGCACGTATAGAGGGGGAATCGTTTGGGGGATAAATCCCACATAGGAAAATGTTGGTGGCTGCAGAAAAAACCACACCAACAGATGGACCGTAGAGGAGAAAGACGATGACCGAAGTGAAAGACACTGGTTTTGGAAGGTAATTAATTTTACTGGAGTCACCAGGTTGTTGGTACCTTGCCTGTTGGAACAGTTTTGGACAACTGGGAGAGGGAGTTTGTCTCATTTTAATTGGGACTAACCATATTCAGAGCAGTTGCCCTGTGTCACCCAGTCTGTCTGTCCACCTGCCTTTTCAGCTTGGCAGTCTCCTCTTTTTCCCCTGCACGTCCCAGTGATTTGAAAAATGATCCATTCTTCAAAGCATCTCTGGTAATTTGGACCGCAGTGTTATATTTCTTTTGAGGCTGATGCATTTCAAAGCTGCAGCCTTTCTTTCTGCAGCAGCTGTTGACACCTCGCTATAACATAGCCCTAGGAGGGGGAAAACAGGTCTGAGGGGCTGCACTTTTCCTATGAGGAAAGAAGTTAGAGATGGCACTAAAATCAACAGAAAACAGATTATTTCATGTACAGTAAAGACAGTGGCTCAGACCTTTTTATGAAGTGCAAGACTATTAGGGAATACCATCACTCATTTCACTTTGCGAAGCACACTGGAGATCTCTTAATGCACTTCCCATTGTTGGTATTATGTACCTGCACACATGTATCAGTGCAGATTAATTAAATAAGCATGCAGATATATGTTCTATTCTGCACCATGTTTGTTACCTTTTTTCCTGAAAACACCACCACCTTTTTAACAGGACTTAACTCAAGATCTGCATTGCTATATTCTTTTGCTGCCAGATACAGAAAGATAAATCCAGACCGTATGATTGCTGGCTGCATGGCTTTTTCCCATTGGCAACCATCTCCCCATGGTGACATCAGCTGAGGTGGGAAGACTATAATTTTGTATTGCACTAGTCATTTAAAGTGAAAATGAATGTTAACATTTCTCTGGTATGCATATGCCCTACTGTACATTTAAAAAAAAATCCTGCTGAGTAATGTCCTACTGGGGACATTACCATACAGGTTTAAAGTTAAAATTCATGTTTCTATTAAAAAGAAAATCTTGCAAATTCTGCTTTGAAAAGAGCTATTTTCCTGAAGGTGAAAAAATCAATTTTGTCAAGCACCCATCTCCTGTTTTCAAAATACTCCTTTGCAGTGGCCTTCACACTAGTCCTGAATAAGGAGCAACAAGATGAAAAGCTGAATCTGTGCAGCTTCATTTTATTGTTAGCAATAAGAGATGCATCGTAACTGAGCAGCATCTGGTGAAAGGGGCAGTTAACTGAAATGGAAACTTTCCACATAGATAACCAGAGGTGTTAAAGGGAGTATAAATGAGTGAGGGCATTTTTCTTCTTCAAACTTACTTTTACTGTGTGTTTGCGACTTCCAGGCTCAACCTGACCCTGCAAACATCTAGGTACGTGCTTAACTCAAGGCACAAGTGTTACATGTCTTTCAAATATGAATCCCAATCCCACTGAAAATTATTCCAACACATCCAATGGCAGCAGCATCTTGTCCTTACTGCAGGCCCCTACTTTAGGTTAAAGTTTATTTGGAGACTGCCAGGCATCCCATCCCAGCCGGCACTGGATCACAGGTAAAAGCTGTATGCATACAGCAAGATGGATATGATGGAGCCAGACTGGAACTGTGCTGTTTGGCCCAAATGCTTATGATAGGTACAGTATAGATATTGCTTGCCTGTACATATGCAAGGGAATGCCCTTTCTATGCTTCTACCACCTCCTCCTTCCCACATCTATGGAGCAACACGGTGTAAAAACTGATTTAAAAGGGTTGATTCTGCAGAGAGAGAGCACATCTACAAGGACCTGCGAAGCTGGGTGACATTCCAAGACCTGCTGTTGTCCTGCTGGGGACTATCTTCCCCTCAGTTTCCACACCTTGGGGAATACTACTACTGACCTTCTCAGAAAAGTACTTTGAGCTGTACTGATGGAGAGAGGAAGTTCCCAGTACTAGCTCCCATGCCTGTTGCCTCCATCTTTGCAACAGAATAGGCAGGGCTTGGGCAAGCTCCAGCACCACAAGTAAAACCCACGCTGATAATCAATATTGTTAGCCTAATTCACGTGCTAAAAGAGTAGTCTGGACAATACGAATTCTTTCTTTAGCAATTCTGGCATTCCATTAAAAAAAACCTGGACTGCTAGCGAACAAAAGGGCTACGCTAGTAACACCAATGAGCCTACCTCGCTCTGCACTTGCTGGGGATCAATTAGGATGCAAGAAAACGAGCAGAAAGTTTATTAAGGGCTGAAGCCCTTCACAGTAGGGCAGAAAGACAAATCCCAAGTGATTTTAGCGAAGCGCTGAACAAGAATCAGAGCCCGAGTGCGTGAAGCAGCTTGTGGGGGTCCGGGGTTGCACTCAGAAGTGATCCTTCGGACAGGGAGCCAAACCCCCTGTTAGGCACGGCACCTCACTTGGCTGCCTGCCGTG